AGATTTCCTAGTAGATATTATAGTTAATTCAAAGTTAGAGATGAGCTTCTTGGAAGATAGATCCTATTGATTATCCATATGCTTCATTGGATACTACTGCTTATCATAAATTGTTAACTAATCTTGGAGTATATTTTATCTTTAGAGGCTCTCCTCCCTTGAAGTTCAATCTAAAAATGTGCCCCTTTTACGTAGATTTAGGAGATTAATATTTTATTTATGCTTTTATCATGATTTTCTGATAACAGTGAGTTTTCTAACTTGCTTTGGCAGGCTCTCGTTTGCACTGACAGCTAGTAAAATTAAAGAGAAAGCTAGAGTAGTTTCCATGGATCTTAGAGGACATGGAAAATCATCCTCAGAAAATGATCTTGATCTATCTATCGAGGTACACATTTTAAGCATAGTAAATAGAAGTAAATGATATTTTTCCTACAAACTGTTGTTTTAATTGTTTGGCCATGAATTTTATCATTCTAGTAATGCTTCTACAGAACTAAAAGATATCTTACATGTGCAGACTATGTGCAATGATGTTTTTTCTGTTCTGAAGGCGCTGTATGGAGATTCTACTCCTGCCATTGTGCTTGTTGGCCACAGGTTGTGCTCTCCTGTTGTTTCAGTTTTGATAGCAGTGTACATAATTCATTTTCTAGAGGAGAAGCAAGTAATAAGAAAAGTGATCATTGATCAAGCACACTAATCAATGAGACTTGTCAAAGGGCGGCTTGACTTTTTTTTTTCCTTTATCTCTTTCTCTTTTCTGTCCGTGCATGCACAATGTATATGTATTATTAGCTCTAACAAAAATTTATTTGTTCTTTTAACAATCCTATAATTTGGAGTCATGGAATTCAAAGAATGAACTGGTTTCAAGGTTGTTTCTTGGAAAAGATTAAATTTTGACAATTAATTTGGAAAGTTGAATAATCTAGGCTGGTAATTTTAGCTCTTTATTTTGATCAAAGTAATATTTTGAATAACTATTTCATTGGTAATGTACTATATTTTCCAAAGGCATGTTTCCATAAAATGGCTATTGGTCTTTTGGTGATTTAGTTCAAATTGTCAAAATAGAAAAAATGAACCACCTGTTAAACTTTTATATGTTCTTTTGAAGAATGAAATCGGAAAACAAATGCCAAGTTATTAAATTTCTAATTATCACCTTATGTCAGCATGGGAGGCTCAGTTGCTGTACACAATGCTGCAAATAAAACATTGCGTAGTTTAGCTGCTTTGGTGGTTGTGGATGTTGTAGAGGTTGGTCCCTTAAATAGCTGGTTGAAATTATCTTTTAATTGTTTCATTGCTAGCAAAGCAATGTATTAAAACCAAACAAAATTGCTTCAGGGGACAGCAATGGCATCATTAGTTCACATGCAGAAAATCCTCTCAGGAAGAATGCAGCACTTTTCAAGTATTGAGAAGGCGGTAAATGCATTTTCTTATCTCATGAATGTCATTTTCTTTTATTCCTGTGTATATCATCTCTCTTTGATGTGATTAAATGTACCATGTTTCAAACTTATATGTCTGTATTTATGTGGATACTGGTGTAGGTCCGTATTTGCACTGTTCATTTTCATGTCATTAGGCTTTATAATTTGAGTCGATATTTGTGCACATTAAATTTTAACTATAAACTAATAAAGAATAATTTTTGTAGTTCCTGAAGTTATAATTTTGTTGATAAAAGTGGTCATGGAACCAAGTAGTGATCCATAATGAAAGTGTCACTACAGAAGGGTTTGACAAACCATTGAAAGTACAAAGTAGTAGGAATTCTGAATTCACTGCTGAAAAATATGGCAGAGGCTATGACCTGGCCAAGTATCATTTGGATTCTGGGACTGTGACACTTTCCTACTCAGCTTGCCAAAGTATACCAGGCCAATCAATCATTTTCTCCTCAATTAGAATCATGATTACGGATTAACGTAAGGGTTCTGGAATGGTTCAACTATCTCCAATCATATAATGTATTAAGATTTTTGTGCAACATCCACACAAGCTATATATCGACTCATGAATGATAAAAGGACTTTGATTAGGAATAGTTTATATGTATTTGTTGATTAATAATTTCAGTGTCGATGTGGTGACTGCCCACCTAAGTGATTTCCAGTAATGTCGTGTCATTAGACTGCTTCAAAACTTCTCAACTCCATTGGTATGCATGGGATATAGGATTGTGGGTTATTTAGTATGACCATAAGTAAGTTGAGCAATTAGTGAAGCGCTAGTGAAATTATTGGAATTCTATCTTGAGGGGCTGACTTGACTAGTGGTCTGCATGTGCTTATACAGGTGACTCAGCGGATAACAGCTGCTAACTTGCTGAACTACTTAAGAATTATATTAGAAGAAAATATGAAAATGAATAGAATTAATCAACGGTAGAGAAATGTATGTTCTATTGCTCTCAGTAAGGTTTTAGTTAAAATCACCGTTGGTTTTGAGTGCTAGGAGAAACTTCTAGTTCTTATGGTAAACTAAGCACCAACAACCAAGAGCAGTTAACTCTACCAGAAAAAAGGGAAACCCTCTAGACCAATCTGATTTTGTACTTTAGAAGGTTGGTTATTGAGATTTGAGAATACAGAGAAAATGCACTGCTTGCTATTCGATCAGAAGCGAGCATGTAGTTGAATTGTATTTTCTTCAAGCAAGTTTGTTGAAGTTATTGTTCTAATGGCAAATTAACATGTTCAGATTGAATGGAGTGTTAGAGGAGGTTCTTTAAGAAATATTGACTCTGCTCGTGTATCCATTCCTACCACTTTAAAGTATGATGATTCCAAGAAATGGCAAGTATTTGTGTCATATTAACTATGTACTGTTACCTTTCCAAGTCCAACAGAAATAATTTTATTTTTTTACCATAGTTATGTCTACAGAACACGGTTGGAACAGACTGAACAATATTGGAGAGGCTGGTGAGTGAAGTTTTTCTGTTAACTTCTATATGTTGTGCAATACTGACGAGGTCTAACATCATTGTGGATATTTGAGCTGAAACCTTGGCATTCATTGTAAGACTCCGCTTGGTAGGATGGATGGGAAGTGTTTAAGTATGCAAAACTAGTTAATCTTATGGTTAAAATGCCTAACCACTTTTTGCTTTGTCACTTAACTACTAAATTAACAAATTTAGAAAAATGCTGGTGAAAATAATATAATAAGTGCCTTGCCTGTGCTTGAATTGAAATAATGATTATAGAAAAAAAGAACTTTTGAATTTGTTGCGGAATGAGAGTTTACAGCATAAACAACAAATTGCATTGATGAATCTTTGTTAAGGTGTGCTGGATAACTATTTCAATGCAACTTAAGAGGTCTCCAGTATTTTTCCATTGCATTTTGTTTTCCTAGTATACATGTTTATGTATGTATTCATACACGTGTAACTAACTAACCTAGCAGCATATTAAAGTAGAGCATGTGTAAAAAATTCCAATGGCTAGTACTGTTTCATCTATCTTTCTAAAGAGTTAGGATAGAGGAAAAGGAAAGGGAGAAAAATCCCGACTGAAATGTAGGGTCAACTTGTTGTGCTTGTTGGATCAATTGGTTGAGTCAAGGTTCACAAAAGAAAAGCCGTTCCTTAATAACAAAAACCAGCCTTAATTACTAGTCCTTTCTAATTTTTTAAACATCCAATGCTAAATTCTTTCATATAATGATCTCAACAATTATGGTGCTATTTCTTGTTTCCTTTTTAACTTTGCTGTCTTGCAGGTATGATGGCCTTTCAGAAAAATTTCTATCTTCCCCTGTTCCAAAGCTCTTGCTATTAGCCGGCACTGACAGACTGGACAGGTTGTCACGTTCGATTGTTAATACTTTGCCTATTTAATTTGACAGTCCTTTCATTTTTCTCCTCTACGTACCAGTTTTTGTCTAATAACATGAATAGATCAGCACTTCTAGTGGTTTTTACTGTTATATCATCTCTGATTTTTGAGGTAAAATGGTTGATGTTGATCCAACTCTCCATTTTTCATAATACACTTCTGTTCGAGTCATATCCACTGGACATGGATATTGAGGTTTGGTCCTCCAAATAGAACAAGTTCCAAAAGAAAATTTTGAATCCGACATCCTTAGAGTCATAGGATTTGGATAACACTCTTGAAAGAAGTTCTATAGAAGTTTTTCTTCTTTGGCATTTGCATGAAAGATGCCATTGTAACGACAGTGATGAATTCTTAAGGATATAGCATATGGCATTGGAAAGGATCAAGTATAATGATTTTTTTTTTTACAATTGGTTAACTTTGCTTTTTCTTTTTACTTTGCGTAATAGAGCACTCACGATAGGTCAAATGCAAGGCAAGTTTCAAATGGTGGTGGTTAGACATACAGGGCATGCTATTCAGGTTCACAACAATTATATTTTCTCAGATGATCTCTTTTGGTATATTTTGTTTATGTTTAATTGAAACTTCTAAATGTTGACTTTGTAGGAGGATGTACCCGAAGAATTTGCTGCACTGATACTCAATTTTATAGCGCGCAACCGCATTGGTCCTCATGGAGTCGAGGTTTGTATTTTGTTCCCAAAATGTGTTTTGCGGGCGAAAGGTTCTCTAATCATACTAGAGTATCTTTTACCATTTAAAGTTCTTTGTTGATTTGGAGGATTCACAAAGGTTGCTTCCACATGTTTCAGTCTCTCTCGGCACAAAATTGAATACCGGCATCTATGAATTATTATTTGGTGCTTGCAACATTCATAGCTGAATTATATGTATATATTGTTCCGCAGATCCCCGGACTTGCCCGGCCGGAACAAGCGCAGCCGGAGCCAAAATCTTAAAACAGCAACCACAATGAATTTTTATCTGCTGACAAAGTTCATTCTGTGGCCTGGCTGTCTTCGAACTTACTGTCGTTTCTTTTGTTTTGTTTACTTTCATGAAGGGAGAGCTCGGGAGTTGTTATGTTCTAATAATAGTGGATACTAAGCATATTAATATATTATAAACAAAAACATCTAACCAAGTGAGGCAGCTGGCCTCTGCTTATATCCTATATGCAACATTATTTGTATATGCAATATGCCTCGGATCTGGTTAAATAGTCTGAAAACAAAATCATCTTTCTCAGGCTGATAATTCACCCGAAATTCATCAAATACAGTTGCAATCTAATTGAATAAGCCTTATTATTATAAAGGTCCATTTTTGCAATCAGGAGGCCGTAGGCTGATAACACAAGTATTCTGAAACTGAAACAATCTCCAATGACTGCAAATATTACTGCTAGAAGCTCATTTAGGAGGCCGTAGACTCCTTCAAATATGCGATCAGGTCGGCACGATCTTGTGGCTTCTTCAATCCAGGGAACACCATTTTTGTTCCAGGAATGTACTGCACATTAAATTTGACCAAATCCTATCAATTTAAGCCAAAATGAACAAGCAATTTCACAATGCCATCCCTATCAATGCAACAAACATCATACCTTTTGAGTCCAACATCAACTTTATATTGGATAAACTACTTAAACGGTCACTCAACTTTGAGGGTGTTAATGGTTTGGTCACTCAAGTGCAGATAGTGACTAAATGTTGAGTGACCAAAATGTTAATTGTCGTTAGGTGTTTAATGCTTGGATGATCAAAACATTAGCAACCTAAAAGTTGAGTGACTAAATTGAAAGGATTTGTTTTTACCAAAATGTTTTGACAAGTAGTAACATCAATGACACGGGATGGCAGTCCACAAATTCTCACATGTTCTCGGCATCGCCACAGTTCGATTCAAACTAAGCAAATATCCCACCCTAAACCACCCATACACCCACAAATAATGGGAGAATTCCAGGTTTTTTCCCCGAGCATTCCAAACCAGAAAAGCACAAGGCTCGTATGAACCAAAATCAAATCCCAGATCATAAACAGGTATAAACCATAAATGATTTAGTATTTATATACCAGAAATAGCAAAGGGCGGGCTGTTAGATTAGAATCCGATAATAGTGGGTATATATGTATAATGTATAATGTTATTATAGAATATAATACAAACTTAGGAGATCAATTATATTACTCATGTCATATGTATTAACATGCCATGAAAATAAAGTAAGGAAATAATAAGTTATAACTTGACAAGTGATATAATTATAAATACTTAAAAATTGATATAATAATCAATTATATGAAAATTTAGTAATCTTGTATTTCTTTCCATTCTGTAAGAGAATTTTAGGACAAGGGAAAACTATTTTCTTGAAAGACCAAAACTAAAAGACTAAGGATTTTAACATATCAATGGATTCAAGTATGCTTCTGAGTATAGTAGTTTTTGTTCTTGACACGTTTAGTTCATACTTGTTTACGGCTCAAAGACAGGCAAGTATAGAATTAACAAGCAAATAAAATCAGCAATGCATGCTTATTAATTTATCTGCACACACAAGTGGGCTGAAATCTGAATGCATCCATTCAGAATGAGGAAATTGAGATATATTACTATGACAAAATAACAGGGGGGAATGGGGTTTATACAGAAAGAAAGAGTGGAAGTGCCTTCTTAGGGTTGAGCAGATAATCATACAAAGTATGTTCCTCCCAAATCACAGCTCTGTTCTTGTTAGCAGCTGAATAGGAGTAGCCTGGGGTTGTACCCGACTGCCTTCCAAACAGACCGTTAAGGTTGGGTCCTAACAGGCCACCGTAAACATATACATATTCAACTCCAAACTTCGAATTTCAGAACAATTGAAATGCCTCAATTCAAGCAGAGTTATTTGGATCTGTGAAAGAAAAAGAGGCTACCTTGCTTGTGGCCGGCACCTTTGTCGACGGTATGGCACTGGGCACACTTGGTCTTGAATATCTTCTCACCGGCCTTTGCATTTCCAGGCGGAGCTTCCTCAAACGACGCCATCTTTGCAAGCTTCGGGTTGTTTAACTTTTCTTTCTTCTTTCTTTCTTTTGCGTTGAAGAAATAAAATTTGAGAGAGAAGGCGAGAGAACAAGAAATAAAGAGAAATTTTGAGAGCTTTCTGTGAATGTTCCAGAGATCGAGGAAATCGAGAAGCGTGGCTTGCTCATGCCTGCCGCATTAGATTTTAGGGTAAACTATTTATTTAGTTGTTATGTTTTAATAAATCAATATTATTGTTATTTCTTAAGAAATGAATGACCAAAATACAACTTTAACTACACTTTTAAAAAGTTAATAATAACAAGGTGATTAAAACAAAAATTAAAAACTAAATTGATGACCAAATAAATAATTTATCACTCTTTTAAAAATAATTATAATTTCAAAGATTTAACTTTAGGACCAACATACCTGCTCCTCTCCCCCTATTTCTTCATTTAATATTATATACATTATTTCTTTTAATCTATCTATTTCTTCATTTAATATAATATACATTATTTCTTTGAATCTATCAAGTGATTAAAAGAAGCAACTATCAAGTGATTAAAAGAAGCGTTATTTTACTTAAAAATACTAACATCATTATGTATAAGGTATATTTGTAATACTAATAAGCAAGAAAGATTTTAAACACATATTATATCGTAATCTTCTTAGATTATTAAATATATACACTACTTCTTTAATTTAGAGAAAAAATAATAGCAGAATTATATATGTATATATTCACAGTAAAGATGAACATTAATGAATGGAAACCTAATAAATAATGCATTGACCAATGGCCAAATGGAAACCTTCCATTCTTATAAACGGGTTTACCCTCTCTCTATATAGGCAGGCAATTATATATTATGCATGGACCTTCCTTGGGGCACATGGCATGCCATTAGTCACCATGAGATGAACATGATGGACCAAGTGAGTATGGTAACAAGAAGATCGAGGGCATTAGTCAATTAATTTCTTAATGTAATTGAATCTCAAATTTGAATCTTAAAAAATTTCTTTTTCTCTGTAAAGAGAAAAGTAGTTTATGGATAAATTTTATAACTATGAGTTATTTTTATTCTAATACAAAGTTGACATACACCGTGCACAGAAATAAAATCACCAAACAAAATTTAAAAAAAAATTATAATTTCATAATTTTTTCAAGGGTTTATTGATTATGGTAGCATAAGTGATGTGCCTCTTTTCAAGGGTTTATTGATTATGTATTACATCAGATTATGAATAAAGCAATGCAAAGAAAGGTCTTTGATTGGCATGAACATGTAAATGGAAGTGGTGCAGACAAACCCTACTTGTTAATAAAACAATCCAAAGAAAGGTATGCAGTTGTAGCTTCATAACTTGGGATTTTATGATTTTTTTAATTAAAATTAAAATTTTGATAAATATTTTTATAATTTTAAAAATAAATTATACTTCTAAAAAGATTTTAATTTTTTTAATATTTTAGAATTAAATATTAAAATATCTTTTTAATAAATAAAAGATAAACAAAGACTAAGATGCAGGATTTTGCAGCAAACTACCACTATCGTCCTTTCCAGTTCTTTTAGAGATAGGGATGGACTTATTATTTTATATTAGGAGAGCTAACATCTAAAATTATAGAAATGAATGAACTTATAAAATTATTATGGGATAAAAATAGATTTTTAATAGAAAATATATAAAAATTTCATACCCAAGTTTATCTTTCAAAATTTTCTCAAATTTTAGCATCATGTTGAACATATTAATTTAATGTATCAAACTATCTTTACTAATAAAAAACTAATGACACAATATTCATTTTATAATAAAAATAATTTTTTAATATTTACTTTATAATTTTTAAAATTCAATGATCAAAAATCATTTTAACATAATTCGATAGGAGCGGTACTAGAACGGGGAAAACATTTGATGGAAAATTCTTGCCTAGCTCTAATGATAAGAGCGGTTCAGCGGCCACCTCAACTAAGATGCAATGTTGGCAGAGGGCGTTGGATACGACCGACACCAAGTTGGACGAAAGTGAATACGGATGGCGCAAGGAATCAGACGACAAGATTCACTACTTGTGGAAGGGTTCTTCGAAGCCATGAGGGGGAGTGGAAGATGGGATTTACTAAATTTATTGGAATTTTCTCGGTTCTTGAAGTGGAGTTTTGGGGAGTTTATATGGGTCTTTTACGTGCTTGGGAATTGCAGAAAACTCAGATTATTTTAGAGATTGATAGTTTGGAGGCCCTGAAAGCAATCGAAGCAGCTGGGGAAGATGGAAATATGATAACTTTGATGAACTACATTGTTGCAATGTTAAGACGTGATTGGACGGCGCACTTACAGTATGGCTCTCTGAATGGAAATAAGGTGACAAATTTAATGGCGGAGATAGAGAATGACAACACACATGATTGTGTGAAGTTTCCAGCTCCCCGATAGAGGTTTATGAAGCACTTCAAGAAGATGAAACGAACACTGTTTATATTTAATAAAATGATAGTCTTTCTTTACCAAATATATATATATATATATATATATATATATATATATATATATATCTCATTTGCATCCTCTCATAGGGCTAAACTTCTGCTAGTCGATTCGTGCGACACTTAAATGATTTTCTAGGTCGAAATGGCGCCTAAGTCAGCCTTAATCTCGTCCTTGTGAGTCTTTGGCTCACTAAGCGATGAACACACCCGATAGGGTTAGGTAGCGACGCGGAAGCAAAACTCAACTGGGGCTAATCCAAGCCACCTAGGTTGAAGCGGATCTCCGAAGCACGAGCACTGTGGGGGCCTTATAAGTCACCACGACTTGAGTCACTTTAGATCTTTAAAAGAACTCGGAAAGGAACACTCTCGAGACTATCTCAGCCCTCATGATCGGTAACACAAGCCACAAAGGCTTCAACATAAAGGGGAACAAGCTGACAAGGCTAGAAAACTAAAAAGCTAGAAAGTTAGAACAAAATAACTCAGAGAGAGTAAGAGTAAATGTTTGAGTCTTATTATTCTGAAAGAATGAAATAGATGGAATCTTATTACAAATGAGGGGATGAACTCTCTATTTATAGTTGAGGCCCTCAAGATCCAACGATCTAGATCAAAGTACATCGACGACTTAAATTGAATCCTACCTTATCAAGAACTCTATCTCTAAGGCATTTGAATTCAAATACAACATTATCCATAATTAATTATTTATTTCCTTAATTATTGGATAATATTATACTTTTTGGAATCTTCCAAAGAACGGGCCAGGTCTGATGGTTATGAGCAAGCCCAACACTATGTATTATTCTCCTACATAAATCTGCACACACATGTCTCGGTCTGAATCCACGAGCCTTGACAAAATTTTCCCCATTGAACATGTAATACCCTCGTCGCTTCTCTCGGACACCTTGGAATTGATCTTTCACGGACTCGTAAGCAGTCTCCAAGAACTAGGCCAACTCATCATGCCCAACAAGCCCAAGTATGCGCAATAGAACCCCTCTTGTGAACATTTGCGCCAATGTCCATGAACCCAAAAGTTTAGTCTGTGACATTCTCCCCCACTTGATCTAGCGATGCCCTCGTCGCTAGGTGAGAACACTTGGTCTTGATCACCTTGGACGCTTTAAAAAACACCTTGGCTTCCTCACCTTGGTTAACACCGTCATGTCTTATCATTATCTAACACACCATGGCATTCATCTCAAACGTAGAAAATCCATCATACCCGTTCGTATTCACCCAAACAAGGATACTTTTGATCCAGCGGCAAAGACTTGGGTACTCCGGTAACATACAACACGACAACTTAGATTCGTCGGCAACACTCACTTTTCCCTAAGAATTATGAAAGTCTCAGATGTTCCTTCCAACCTTTGATAACTCCACAAAAAGTTGGTTAGGTCCTCGACCCACACACATCAACAATGGTGAATCAAACTCAACACTTGGAACATGTTTAAGATGTCCCTTGATCTCCCTCATCATATTTACTTTATATGTCAGCCCTTCTTACTCCATGAAGTCTGGCACTCCACACACCAACACTTCTATCCTGAAGTCTGGTGCTTTTACTCTCATCGACACTTCCTCCTTTGAAGTTCGGTGCGACTTCCACCTTTTTACATGGGTGGCAAGCTCTCGCCTATCATGTCCCTCGAAGGCTTGGACTTTATCAACCACTTCTGGAATGTATCTTCGATGATAGTCCCCAAAATAATGTTCCGCTCCCTTGAAACATCATCAACAAACTGAATGGCCATCACGGTCTTAGTCACCCCCTTACTGTCTCGAAACAAAGGCACAATAAATTATCGTCGGGAGTTTAAAATACACATGACATCGACAAATGAAAAGACAAAAGCCTTCACACGGTCAAGGAAACCCAACCCGATGACAAAGTCGAAGTCATCCAATGAGATCACCCTAAAGTCCTCATTGCCGCTCCTGCAGCTCTATATTCATGGCCACTCCAATAATTGGAACCTCTTCAAAATTGACAGTCTTGATTTCCCCCTTTGATGGCTCAGTTTTCAAACCAAGATTGTTGACATCCTTCTTTCACATGAATAAACGGTTACCCATGTGTCTACTAAGGAAACTCTCGATTGTCCTGCAACGTTGATGTTTATATATATAAACTATTTCTACTTTTTCGGCCTCCACTTGCCTTGGCAGAACTCAAAATCATTGAGCCAAGTCTCACAACCTCATTGATCCTGTCCTCATCCATGTCCTTGGGTAACTCTATCATGGGCTTGTCAATCTTCTCGGACCACTCATCTTTATCCAGGCAAGATTTCAACTCCTCTGGCCCCTTACCTCGGTGACCCTCCGTTTACTCTTTTCTTGCCCTCAGCTTAAGGCACCTGTCAGCTTTACTTATGCCAACACCACACATGTCTTCTCTAGACTTATGATCACCACTTGAACGATCAGTGCTCAAATGCTCATCATTCGAACAAACTCCACTCGAACAAACATTACTCGAAGAGCCTTGCTCCTCATCATTGGATCGACCCTCATCTCAGATTCTTTAACCATTACCAAAGGATTTTAACTTTGGCTTGGATGTCTTCTTAACTCCAAGTTATATGATGGACTCGGCAGCTATCAAGGCTTTAAACAATTCCTTGATTCCTATTCTCTCCATCTCATTCTTTGCCCATGAATTTGATCCATCTGTGAAGGTGAAGAATGCATCTTCGTCAGTTGTAACATCCATATCCCGTATACCTTTTCGTACACGAGATACAGAGGTCGCATCACTTTATAAAACATTTTGTCATTTGAAAACCCGTAAAATTTTGTTTCAATTTGAACAACTACAAAATATGATATTCATAGAAGAAAAATACTAAAACTATCACTTAAATACATTACAAAATATTTACTATAGTTTAATTGCATACCAACTAAGTTCTCAAAAGGAATAAGATTGTCCTAATATTATTGATGAGTCAACCTTTAATTGATGAAAGTTGTTACTGCTGCACTCCTTACTTGGTAAAACCTTGATCGTTCCCTACACGTGAAATCAACACATGTTAAGTATTTACTTAGTGAGATATAATACTGTAAAGACATCACAATTTATACATAGATATCTTATAACCAGTGAATGATGAATTAAATTGCATAATCCCTAATGACCAAATAAGCCCTTCTCAGTTCAATCATAATTCTTTAATACAATCATTGCAATTATTCTTAGTAGGCCCATCATACTTATCCTTCTGTATATTTTCCCCCATTATTCTTTATTTGCCCTGTGTGCATTAAATGAGAAAGTACTATACATGTATTGCACCAAAGTGACAATTGATCATATAATCATTATGGGTGGCACCTTAAATACTGTTAATACATCGTTTTGTATTTTTATTTGGGACATCTTTTCATGCCCATTATATACTGTCTACTTTTTCATTTATGATATTCATTCATACCAATTATGCATTGTTATACATTATATATATATGGCTTATTTTCATACCACTTATGCATTGTTGTACATTATATATATATGACATCCTTTCATACTACTTATGCATTTTTTATATCAAAATACATTATAATTCCTTTAGTCTTTTACCCAAAGGCATTTAGCCTTTCATCTAACTTGCATAATTGACACTTTTCTTCCAAATGCACAACTAGTCCATTAATCTTTTACTCAACGGTATTTAACCGTTCATCTAATTGTCATAATTGACACCTTTCTGCCAAATGCAAAGCTAGGCATTTAATCTTTTACTTAACAATATTTAATCATTCTTCTAACTGGAATAATTGACATCTTGCTACCAAATGCATAACTAGGCCATTAATCTTTTACTCAATGGTATTTAACCGTTCATCTAATTGGCATAATTGACACATTTCTGCCAAATGCATAGCTAGGCCATTAATCTTTTACTCAACGATAATTAAATGTTCATCTACCTTGCATAATTGACACCTTTCTGTAAAATGCACATCTAGACCATTAATCTTTTACTCAACGGTATTTAATCGTTCATATAACTAACATAATTGACACCTTTCTGCCAAATGCATAGCTAGACCATTAATCTTTTACTCAAAGATATTTAATCGTTCATCTAACGGGCATAATTGACACCTTTCTGCCAAATGCACAGCTAGGTCATTAATCTTTTACTCAATGGTATTTAACTGTTCATCTAACTGGCATAATTGACACATTTCTGCCAAATGCACAACTAGGTCATTAATCTTTTACTTTAGAATTGTTTTTACTCTAATAATTATTCATAATATCACTTAACTCTTTCAATTCATTATAAATTTTATAGTTTGCACACGTAGTGCCTATACGGTAATTTATAAACTTATTATAATTTACGTGGGTTGCACACTCACTACCAATACGAAAATTCATATAATTTCTTAACTTTTTACACACAAAGTACACATATAAAAATTCATAAACTAATCATGAATTTCTTAACTTTTTGCACACAAAGTACCCATATGGAAATTCATAAACTAATTATGAATTTCTTAACTTTTTGCACATAAAGTGCCCATATGAAAATTCATAAACTAATTATGAATTTCATAACTTTTTGCACACAAAGTGCCCATATGGAAATTCATAAACTAATTATGATTTTTTTATCTTTTTGCACACAAAGTGCCCATTGGGTAATCGTATACATATATCAATAAATCATAAATCTATAATTTCTATAACATCTACGTACATAATAAATGCACTCACCTGGGTTGCCTCGCTATTATATCCAAAATGCAAAGTTGATTACTCAGGTACTTTGCCTTTGCCTTTTGTTTTGCTTGACTCAGGAGTTTGATTTCGATCTACTCAAGCATCCAATAAAGACATATACAATATCAATTGTTAGTATATTTCCTAACAATTATACTTAAACATTACTCAATAGTACATATTATTATATTTTCTATAACAATCTTAGCTTATTTTAACATTTTTGGCTCAATAGTATCGATACCCCTACCATGGAATCGATACTAATATACTATGGTACCGATACCCTATTATGGTACCGATACCATTTTTGCATTCTGTTAACAATGGTATCGATACCACTTGAATCTGTATCGATACTACTCAACAAATTCTATTGTTTTTAAGCCTATAGTATCGGTACTATTCTATCAGTATCGATACCATTACCCATATTTTACATTTTTCAGCCTAAAACTTACCCAAATTTGGTTAAATTTCCTTATGCTTACCCCCAACAATACTATTAAACTCTTCTCTACCTATTCATACTGACTTTCCTTCATTTAACTTCTTACAACATCTAAAATATTTCAAGAACGTTCAAATCTCTTATTTACATATTTGACAAGTCAAATATACTAACAAACATCATTAAAAACTCATTTTCTAACATAACACTAAAAAACCCATTTTCTTCAATCTCTATTATCTCATCCATAACTTAGTTTTGATCTCATTTAATCATTCATTCAGCTTCTATTATACTCAATGCTTCAAAAACCAACCAAAAATGAAGGAATAAACTAGTAAATTGAAAACTCACCTTTAGCTATGGAGGGGAGCTTTTCACGGGAAAAGAAAGAAGAAAAAGGGGATGACTTTTGCTAACCTATTTTCCCTTTCCCTCTTTACTTAATATTTTATTAAAATAAATTTTAAATTCATTTTTCCCTTAAAGGGCCAAAATGCCCTCATAATCATCCATTGCTACAATTTAGTCTAAACCATTATTTCAAATCATTCTCATCTTTTATCAATTTGTTAAATAAATCATCAAATTTTAAATTCTTTCAATAAAGTCCCTGATTCGATATTTGGGGCATTACATCAGTCAACTCTGGGACTTTGAACATGAGTTTCTTGAACTGTCTTGCATACTCCTTCAACGCCCCAACATGTCTAAGACTTATCAACTTAGACCATGCCTCACTCTCGGTATGCACCGAGCTCAACTGCTCTCCAACAAACTCAGGTTCTTTTGGCCCTTTGCCAACTATAGCTTCCACAGTAACGACTACCTCCTCGGTATCCTTTACAAGCCATTTGGCAACATTAGGTTTGGGCAACTCATCCAGCTTCTGGTTCTGACTAACCTTGGAAGAAGTAAACACCATTGAACCAAGCTTGACAGGCTCACTACTCTTGGCCTTGTCTCTTCCCTTGGACTGCTTGATTCGGTTTGGGTATTCCCGCACTATGTGTGGACCTTTGCACCGAAAATACTCCCGTTAATCTTGTTTATTTACCCTAAGCTTTTCTTCTTTTCCCTTGGCTTTCGTGCCGAGCTTTACTTTATTTGTGCAATCACGCACCTCATGTTTTCCCCCACAATGGAAACACTTCAACGTCTCTCGCTTCTTTACCCTCGGTTTCCTTACTTTGCCGCTTGTATTGACACCGAGCTTTTCTGTATTTGGGCAACTCTTGGCCCTATGTGCTCCCTGACATAGGAAACACTTCAGTGGATCTCACTTATTTACCCTCAGTTTTCCTCCACCACTCGTATTCACGCCGAGCCTCACTCATGGCTTAACTTATTTGACTCCCACAGTCATACCATCTTTGGCTACTTCCCCTTCTGACTTGTCTCCTCTGACACTGGCAGCAAGGCGATTCTTCTCGAGACATCCTCTTATCATGTGAGGACCATTACAGAAATATCATTTAAGTGGCTTGCTACTCACATTTTTCTTTGACACGGACTTGGCCTTGCCATGATTCCCTGATGGCTTTATCCTGCCACAATTAGTCGATGCCACTTCTTGGCAACTCGAAGAGCTTTCTTTGCCATCTATCCACTGTCCCATGCCATGGTCTCCCCCATTTTCACCACTATCTTCGGGCATGAGCCTGAACGACTCATCTTTGGTTGACTTGACTCCTGCAAGCTCACACATTGACTCAGCTACAACTCTGACTTCTAAACAACTCTAGGCATCACCTTACTTACTGGCAAGCATCACCCCTAGTCTAAGTCATTCGACGAAGGTCTTGAGCACACCACCATCACTCATTGTTCCCTTGTACATTAGTATCTCATTCTTGAGCCAATCCTTGAGCCCATCCATCTATTCCCTCAAGGCCATCACCTAGACCCTAAGTGCATTACTCATCTCTATCAACTCTATCAACATCCAATCGTAGAGACTCCGTTGTGCCACGTCCTTGAACATATCCCTCATGGACTCTAGCTGTTCAAGATGGGACTTCAGAACCCCTTGGACCTCATTGGCTTCCTCTGCGAAGCTCTCAAGGTTCTTGATACTCATCTCCAATGATCCTAGGATAACTCCCACGCTTTGTTTCTCTAGCTCAATCCCAACACCATGGCTCTCCACGCCATTCTTTTTGGGAACAATTCCTCTTTGTTGTGCCATATCGCTCCCTTTCCGCAACTTGTTGAACACTTGTTGAATCCACAACGGCTTCCTTCCACTTGCTATGATACTTCTTGTCACAAAACAAGCTCAGATCATTGTTAAATCCACAACACCCCCACTCCGACTTGCTTTGACCCACTTCCACAAAACACATACAAAGCGATCGTTGTCTGCCTACAACGACTCACTCTGTCACTACTTGCCAAAAAATCTAACTGGTACACTCATTGTTACACCAACAACTCGTTCTGACACCACTTGTGGCGGTGCTACAGCTACGGCTCTGATACCACCTGTCACGGGGTTAGACTTCTGCTAGTCGATTCGTACGGTATTTAGATGATTTTTCAGGTCGAAATGGCGCCTAAGTCACCCTTAACCACTTCCTTGTGAGTCTCTAGCTCACTAAGCGACGAACATACCCGATAGGGTTAGGCAGTGACACAGAAGTAATCCAAGCCACCTAGGTTTAAGCGAATCTCTGAAGCATGAACACTGTGGGGACTTTCTAAGTCACCACGACTTGAGTCACTCTGGATCTTCAAAAGAACTCGGAAATGAACATTCTCAAGGCTATCTCAGCCCTCACGATCGGTAACACAAGCCACAAAGGCTTCATCATAAAGGGGAACAAGCTGACAAGGCTAGAAAGCTAAAAAGCTAGAAAGTTAAAACAAAATAACTCAGAGAGAGTAAGAGTAAATGTTTGAGTTTTATTACTCTGAAAGAATGGAATAAATGGAATTTGATTACAAATGAGGGGAGGAGCTCTCTATTTATAGTTGAGGCCCTCAAGATCCAATGGTCTATATCAAAGTACATCGACGTCTTAGATTGAATCCTACCTTATCAAGAACTCTATCTCTAAGGCATTTGAATTCAAATACAACATTATCTATAATTAATTATTTATTTCCTTAATTATTGGGTAATATTATCCTTTCTGAAATCTTCCAATGAACGGGCCTGGTCTGATGGTTATGGGCAAACCCAACACTCTGTATTTTTCTCCTACATAAATTTGAGCACACATGTCTCGGTCCTAATCCACGAGCCTTGACAAGATTACCCCTATCGAATATGTAACACCCTCGTCACTTCTCTAGAACGCCTTGGAATTGATCCTTGACGGACTCATAAACATTCTCTAAGAACTGGGCCAACTCATCATGCCCAACAAGCCCAAGTATGCACAATAGAACCCCTCTTGTGAACATTTGTGCCAATGTCCATAGACCCAAAAGTTTAGTCCGTGACAATCTTTACACATTTTTGTTTTTTTTTTAAAAATAAAATCCCATTTGCAATAATGTAACATTAATATTGGAGGTTCTATTTAGGGTTTAACACCTTTAGAGTTACATAAAACTACTTTTTAAACGAAAAATTATTAGATGGTCCCGACTCGTCATGTCATATGTAGTCTCAACTAATAATAATAGTCCATATCATTTTTTCCAAGGTAAATCTTCACATCTTTCCTATATGTAAATAATAAGTGGATAGTTTTTTTTAAATTTGTGTCTCTCATTCACTGGGACCACGAATGACGTGGTGAGTTGAGTCCTTCAAATAATTTATCCTCTCCAACTGTTTATCAATGTCGTTTCCAGACATCGACTCCTAAAAAATTTTCTAAATTACATTTTACTCCTCAATATTTACTTAACATTTTATGTTTGCTCACTCAAAAGTTTTTAATTTGATTTGTTCTTTTAGAAATTGTAATATGTATGATAAATTTGGAAATATTTTTAGTTTAAATTTTATTTTTTTATTTCAAATTTTTTGTTATAAATAAATTATGGATATTTTTTTTTGTGAAGCTCGGAGGATAAACACTTACATGGATGCAAAACAATCATATTTTTCATCCAAGATTAGTATTAAACCTATAGATGAAAGTTACGACCTCAAATGGATATTAGGTTTTTCTTTTATTCATGAAATATTATGTGTTGTAGAGATGTTATGATTTTTTGAAAGGATTGAATTTAACTTTTTTAGGATGAATATATGAGAAAGATGGTGTGATTGTAGCTTCTTTTAAACTCTAAAGTATTCATGCTTTCATGTCATAACATCATATTTATCTTTTAATATCGAATCCATAAGATATATTGATCTTGTAAACCAATTTTCATAAGTGCTCAAGGTATATAAATATGAGTTCTTCGATTGATAATGAAAAACAATGGAATTTGGTTCAATCTTGGCCTATAATTCTACCATGTATGGTGTTGCAAAGGGAATCAGGTTCCAAAAGCCGCCTAAATACGTAATGCTATGTCTGAGAGAAGATCGAAGAACCTAAACGATTTGGGTATTATAGAAATTTACCATAATAGAAAAAAGTATTTATATATTTTATCATCTCAATTAATGTGGACTGTAATTGTCTGTTATTATATTTATATTATTATATTTTGTGTTATTGTATTTTCTTTTATTGTATTTCATATTTTTTTCATCTATTATATTTTAAATTTTATGTAATTTTGCATTTTTTATTCTTATAACCTTTAACAACCACAAACTCTAAATATAAAAATATATATATTATATATAATCTAAAAAAATATTCTTTTTATTAGTTCTTATATTTTTGTGTGACATATAAACAACTTATTGACATATAAACATGTAAAAAATTAATAATTTAAAGGTTTATTTTGATTGAAAATAATTTAGAGACGTAATTCAAATATGGTAAATGTAGGGAATTTTTTAAAGTTTACCCTTGAGTTTAATAATTAAACATTATAGTCCTAAATTCTAATCCAATTGTGAAATCATAGCGGTAATAAGTGTAAGTATTCTAATATGAACATTAATTTAGTTTAACTATAATTAAATAATTTTAGTGATTAAAGAATATATTATTATTTCTTGAGGTCTTATATTCAAACACTGTATATACCAAAGACATGAGCATTAATTATACAATGATTGAATAGAATCTTTAATCATATACTATTTTATATTTAGTAAATAAATGAGAAAATTTTAACTTTTAGATATTAGACAAATTGTTCACCGACGAGGCAACGACTTTCCCGATAATGTTGGGAAAAGAAAATGGTACATCGGAGTAGTAGAGACAAATTGACATATTTTTATTACAATATCTTGCTGGCTAGTGAGCCCGAATTAATTAAATACTTCGTGCTCCATGCCTGACTATTATATATCGATTTGTATTTTATGTACTATTTATATAATCACTCATGTCGTTATTATATATATATATATATAACATTTTTTTTAAATTAATCATTGATATCCAATCTATTGACTAACTAATCTAGATAGGGTATTGCATAGGTGAGAGCGATCCTCTCAACCTAATTTGCTCTATTCGTAAACGACATAATTTGAACCCCTAACCTTTTTTAAGAGACCTAGTGTCTCATCTCACTAGCCCAACCGGTTGTTGGTAATTTCATCAAAAAACACTTTGTTAATAAATTAATTTGGTAATATATAGAAGTTAAAATTTTATGAAACTCTTTATCTTACTTTTTTGATACTTCACTTGCAGCTTTGTGTTTCCACATACCTTTCTGCTGGGCACTAAATCGGGGTTAGGGGCCATCGGAGCCGCGTTTTTGATAGGTTTATCGACTTTTTTGAATGTGATATCGCTTGCCCTTTCTACGAAATTTTCCTCAAAATGTGATAAAACTCGTTCTGCTTTCTCCAAAGAAGTTTTCCACAGCACCAGAGTGTTTTTCCGCTTTGCTATACCTTCAGCTGCAATGGTTTGGTAAAGTTTTTTCAAAATTTCTCTTGCATTCCTTTTATGGGATTTAAATGAACATCAAAAGGCGACATTAATAACGACTATATCGTACCTGCGGCCTAACGGATTTTCTCATGTTTTCCGATGAATGCAGTCTTGAATGGTGGGGATCCGAGGTTCTGATTTTTCTCTCAGGGCTGCTACCAAATCCAGAACTTGAGGCTTCGGTGCTTTCTATATGTTATCCGTCTTTCGAATACTTGATTTCTATACTCTGCTTCTAATTACTAGGCTGTGAATTTGAGTTGTGTGCAGCTTGGCAGTTACTTATCTGCACTTTTTCATACCTTATGGTATAGGAACAACTACAAGGTTTGTTTTTCAACCTTGTGATTGAGTAGAATACATAGATGACTCGTGGTTGAAGAACTGGTAACCCATAAGCAGCCAAGATGGCTGTTTGCATACTGGTATGCATTTCAGTGATGGAGACGGATATCACGGCCACGGTTCTCTACTTTTGCCGTGACATACTGGGGTGTGCATTCAGCAGCGAGGAAGAAGTCGGATCATGTGGCTGACATTGTTCCCATCGTGTGTCTTACAATCATTTTGGACGGTTTACAGGCTGTGCTTTCAGGTTAGTTGGCTCATGTAATCAACGCATGTTTAAAAGATGGCATTTGCGTAGAACGTAATTTAGTTTCTCAGGAGTTGCAAGAGGGTGTTGGAGGCAGAAGATGGCAGCAATTGTGAACGTTGGGGCGTATCTTATAGGATCCCCATTGGGTGCAGTTCTTGCATTCGTTCTGCATTTCAAAGTTAAAGGCCTTTCATTGGATTGACAACCGGCACTGCGTACTTTTTTCATTGGAAGTATATGATCTAACCAAAATAGTTATTTTTTAATGATTTTATCTATGCTTTCCTAACATAACAAATTTTTCTCTACTTTCGTAATAAATGTTTTTCTTCTTCAATTCTTAATTTGTTGTTGTTTGGATTATCAATAACGGACGTGGAACAAAATATACCGATGATGAAAAAGAAGTGTTGCCCTTGGAGGGAGTTTCCTCAAATTTGTGAATTATTTTGTTGGGACCTTTCTTATTTTGAGTATAGCTAATTTTTCTGTCAATAAAGATGATTTTAAATAATGTTTCACATTGATTGATGATATCTGTATATCAGATTTAGGGGATAGAAAATATGTTTTTTTTATAACATAAATATCTTTATATTAGATGTAGGTGATGAAAGATATTTTTTTATAACATAAATATCTCTATATCAATCTATGTGATGGAATATATATATATATATTTTGTTTATATCATAAAGTGGATATCTGAAGAAAAAAATTAAGACCGAGGAATTTGAATTCTCATTTACGTTTTCTTTACAATTTCATACCTCTAAATTTGTATTTTTTTTAAATGTTCAATATAAAATTTTATATCGGTGCTTGAGGACTGCAATATGCCTTGTTCTATTGGTAAAGGATATATATATAGGGCGTTTTTACCCAAAAAGCACCCAAACTATCAATAATTACTTGTCAGACACCCATTGATCAAATTTTACCGGTCTAACACTCATTTGCTAACATGGACGGAAGGCGCGGATCACCATCTGATCCTTCCCTGGGTTATCGTCCGAATTGACGCCACGTAGGCAAAACGCGGATCACCATCCACGCCTTCCATTATTCACCTTGAATTATTGGGTACTTCATTATTACCTGAATTTTAAAGCTCGACGACTCACCTTTCCCCCTCCCCTATAAATACTCCCGAATGCAAACAACAAACTACACCAAAATTACTTTCACATTAGAAGTAGATTTTGTTATAGTTTTTAGATGGTAAAATTATTTATTATTATATTATATTTATTTTATATTTATTTATTTGACCATAATTTTCTATACTAATGGTTTTATTTCACGTAACAATTGATGATGTGCCGATGAAATTGTTTTTTCTGAAATATCAGCTTGCGTTATTTCATTTTCGTTTACGTTCAAGTAATGGGCTACTCAAGTGAAGATTAAGCTCATAAACACTTCAAGGTTTATACCCCAAAACCTTAAATAATCTCTCTCCCAAAGAGTAATTACAAATTTAGCAAACTAAAGAAAAACCTCACGAAGACAAATAAGTTTGCACTAATTAAGCTCTTACCCAAATTACACTTGAGGAAAATAAACAATGTAGCTCACAAGTGTGTTTACAATAAAGAATTTACAAATTAAGCACAAAACTAAGCTTTGGTGTTGATAGATTGGTTCAATATGATTCTTGACGACATTGAGAAGCTTTGACCTTCAATTTATACCTTCTCTATTATTCTAGCAATTTATAATTGTTGGGGATCATTATAGCCGTCACCTACAATAAAAAACAACATTTAGTGTACGAGAGATGGATCTTTTATTAAAAGGGATCGATCCTTTTGGTGAAGGGATTGATCCCAAACTCATTGTTGTCCAAGGGATCGATCCTTTTTAAAGGGGATCAATCATTTGGTCAAAGGGATCGATCATTTTCTAGGGATCAATCATTTGAGCCAAAAATCCTTAGAAACTTAACTTTAAAGCGCGAAAATGATCGAGTTTTTTTTTGAAAAGGTTCGACTAAGTCAGAAAATATTTAAAACATATTTTTCAAGTTAATTTGGACTTTGAATTATTTTTGATAAATTTTTGACAAATTCAATTAAGTCCAAAAACAATTTTTCATTTTAATGTTATATCAAAATATTAATTCAACAAAAACATTACAAACTAAACAAGTCTATCGATGTTTGCGTCTCGAATGTGTTCCACATAGGGGTGATTGTCTATTTTGATGAAGGTTTCTTCATATAAGTTGTTCTTCCTCCTTACTCCCATCATCATCATCAACAGTAACAATAGTAACATGTATATTTTGTTGATCAGTGATAGATGACGATGTACCACCTCTATAGAATAAAGACCATGAAGATGTATGACTAACCATCCCATCGCTCGTAAAAAATTGTGAAAACAAAGAAAACATAGACATTGATGAATGCAAAAACTAGGTCTGAGGTGTCTGAGTCTGTGGTGACGCATCACTCACCAAATATGATACGTACGAAGTCTACGCTGGATCTACAAGCATGGAACTGTAATATATGCCTAGAGAAGTCATAAAACCATACGGTGATGGCATCGAAACTTGTTGTGGTGACTTCTGAAATGGAGATGATAGAGTCTGAAATAACTGTGGAGCCATATGAAATGGTTGTATCCTCATCTAAAATAGCTGCGGAATGTAACTCGGTATAGATGGTGGCTGATGTGATGGTTCCGGTGCTACACCTGAAGATGAACTGGAAGTGCCTGCTTTCTGTCCACTAGTCGGGGGACGATGCAACTATGATTGTGGACGCCTTTCTCGACGCCGATGAATGCTCTAGGCTCGTGCTTTCTCGGAAAGTAAGAACGCCTTATTGTTCATGTTGAACCACTGGTAGTAGGCATCTGCAACCGAATATTGATCCACATAAATTACCTCCCTACGGGGAATGCGTCCACATCGATCCTCTCATATCATCACCCAGTCGTTGTGTTTCATCAGATAATTAACTTCTAATTTTCCCTATCTATCGATGTTATGCAAATTATCGATACTCATATGTGCTTCTGGAATAGATTGTACGAAACCATATTTCCAGAGAACGTGATCAGTTGGATACCACCCGGCAATAGTATAACATATCAGAGGGACCACTGTCATCCGTACATCTAGTGGGTCACTCATATTAAGTGGGATACAATGCTTTATTTTGTCAGTAGCATAAGGACTCCATTGAAACTACAACAAATATATATAATTATTTTTAAAATAATATTTTAATTATATAACAATAATTAAAGGTAAATTACAAAATTTAAATACATACCCGTATACCAGTTTTTTGATCAATGAGTAATCAAATTTCTTCTAATTCATCTGGTATTTCACGATGATCATTCCTTACACATGACCGCCTATTCATTGTAAAAAAATATTCATTATACATTCAAAAAAATATTTATATACGAACTCAATATTGAAATTACCTCAACAATAACAGGAAGACTAATGGGTTCTTCACGACTGGACATAAAAAATGTATGTGATACCACGTCCATGACTGAAGAAGCAGGAGACATCCGCTGATAGCATTTTCTGATAATCAGTTATTCGGCACATTTCTTTAAACAAAGATGTCAAAATTGCAGAGCCCCAACTGAATGGCCCGACAACTAGAAAATCGACGAGGTGACGCAACAACATACAATGAAATTGGTTGCAAGATTTATCGGGCATCAGGATCTCTCATACGAGTCGTAATATGCAAGACCGGGTAAATATTTTAGCCTTTTACTCAAAACAGTCGTCGTTCAACTGTCGAAAATTTGTAATCAACCATGATAACGATATTCAATCACCATTGAAATTAAGCGGGATACCTCCAAGATACTCATCACACAAGGATTTTCAAACACCATCCGCCACACCAGAAATGAGATCCTTATCTATCGAAAGCCCCAAATGTAAGGAAACATCCTCCAACGTAATAATGCACTTCCCACACGGTAGATGGAATGTGTGTGTCTCTGGTCTCCACCTATCGACCATTACAAAAATAAGGTTGAATTCAAGGTTACAGTGCCCTTCATATCTAGCTATGTATCCAAATCCAGCCTCAGCTAAATATGACCAAACACGATTTAGTATCTCTAACTTAGTGTTACGAATAAATGGATCTAATATACTTTCATTCCCCTAATTAAATAAATAATATACAAATTAAAAAATAAACTAATCCTAAAAAATAAATAAATAAAACATTCAAAATAATTATCATAACACAATTTCAAATTGTTACTATATCCACAAAATATAGCTCGAGATATGGTTTCTATCTAAATGTAGCAACCCGTCTTCCATTTTATAATTGCAAAACATAAAAAAATTAGCATAGTCAAATATAATAAAATAATACACTATTTAATGATTATAATATAATAAAAATAATTTTACATTCTAAAAATAATAGCATAACACACTTGAAACTAGTTAGAATGAATGATAAAAGTAAGAAATAAAGTGTTTTTTTTTGTGTGGTTTGATAGTTGTATGAGGTGATATTTATAGGAGGAGGAGTAGGTGATAATTAAGGGGGAGCCATAGACGATTGGGGCGTATCACCATCCGCGTCTTCCACCATGTGTCAGTTTTTCCTTCGAAAGAACGAATGATGATCCACGCTTTGCCCGTGTGGTGCCAGTTCATACGAAAACTCAGGGAAGACACAGTGGTGATTCATGTCTTCCGTCCATATCAGTAAATGAGTGTTAGATCGATAAAATTTGGTTAATGAGTATATGATATATAATTATTAATTATTTGAGTGATTTTTGAGTAAAAACGCCTAGTTAATGAGGTTTAATTATGCATTGTTGTTTAGAAAATCTAAAATGGAAGTGCAGCGGGGACTAATTCGAATCAAAGGGACGTGGACAGCATTGATCCACTTCATATAAATCTTTGTCAAAGGACATGACAGTGACACTCACATGTTGTCTGAATCAGACAGAAGACCCCAAGAAAAGATCCAAGAGTGTTTAAAGCAGGCCACAATTTTCATCCCCAATGCTCTTCGACAATTGACGCTCAACCACTTTGGGATTGACACACAATCAATCGGTTTTTTTTTTTCACCTCAAGTTTTAAATTTTCGTCTTACTTAATTTGGGTTGATTTAGATCGAACAATTGATTTTTATGAATAAATTTTCTAATAAAGATTTTCTACGTACACAACTAATAGGATTTG